CTCAACAGGTTGGAGAGATGGGCAGAGAGGAACTGTCTGAAACTCAACAAAGACAAATGCAGGGTCCTGTACCTGAGGAACAATAACCTCAGGCTCCTGTACATGCAGGAGGCCAGCCTGCTGAAAGCAGCTCTGCAGAGAAGGACCTGGTGATTCCAGTGGACAACAAGGTGGCCATGAACCCTTTTGGCCAAGAAGGCCAATGGCATCCTGGGCTGCATTAGGAAGAGCATTCCCAGCATGTCAAGTGAGGTGATCCTGCCTCTTTACTAAGCCCTATTGAGGCCACAACTGAAGTGCTGTGTCCAGTTCTGGGGTTCTGGGCTCCTCAGTACAAGAGACAGGTCTGTCAGATGGAGCAGGTCTATCAGAGGGTGACAAAGATGATTAGGGACTGGAGCATCTCTCCTTTGAGGAAAGGCTGAGAGAGCTGGTTCAGCATTGAGAAGAGACAACTGAGAGGGAACCTTATCAATGTCTCTTAAGTATATGAAGAGAGGATGTCAGAGGATGCACCAGGCTCTTCTCCAGGTTGCCAAGCAATAGGACAAGATGTAGCGGGAAGAAACTGATGCAAAGAAAATTCTACCTGAATATGAGGAAGAACTCTTCTGTGCAGGTGGCAGAGCACTGGAACAAATCTCCTCTGTCTGCGAGAGGTCATGGAGTGTCCTTCACTGGAGATATTCAAGAACTATCTGGACACAGATAGTATCCTGTGCTCTAGGATAACCCTGCTGGCGCAGGGAGGTTGGACTGGATGATCCATGGTGACTCCTTCCAACCTGCCCCATTCTGTGATTTCTGTGATTTTATTGATTAAAATCTATTTTTGAAAGCTTTGTGTCACTCTGAGTTAAAATGGTGTCCAAAAAGGCTGTGCTGCTCAGCTGTATTTTCCCATCCCATTTCCCTTTATTAGAAGTACACCTGTCATTTCTTAGTCTGCTATGCTGTGAGGCTTCCTGCAGGTCACTGTGCCACACGGCCTGTGGCAGCTCAGCATGCATGACCATGGACTGTGGTTGCATGTTGGTATAAACCCTGACATCCCTTTACACATCTGACAGGTGTGCCCAATTGTAACACATGTTGGTTCAGCACAGCTTTGCAAGACATAAAAATCTCCCCTGGAAGGGTTGTTCCTACAGCTGCAGGTGCTGGATTTAATTAGAGGCAATCTCAGCACCTGTGAGACAGATCCAGTTAACTCCTTTCTTGGCTTGTTAGCCACAGAAGCAGATTTTTCATGCTTCATGAGAGCAGATCTTTCTAGTGGCTGAGGCAGTTAGTGGCTCTGCCTTACATATTTTCAAGCAGTCAAAACACTTATTCTGTCTTATGCCTTTGTTATTTCCATATTTTTAATATAATTGTGTCTTAAGCACTCCTCATTCACACGAAATGCCAGTTTTTGTTGGTGCGCACAGAAAAATTTATAGCTTACACGAGCTTTGTTTTCCAATAGCAGGCAATAGTGTTGACAAATAAATAGCTTCCCGTGCCTGTGAATGATGGGTGCAGATGTTGATGCAGGTCTGTCCCTGGCATGCTGAAGCAGCAAAGACAAGTTCCATCTTGTTGTATCTCTTTCATAGCAGTCGCCTCCATTCACCAACACTGATTAACTAATTTTTTCCCCACAGAGAAGATCAGAATGTGAGACTTGAAAAATATATTATTTGAGATTGCTTTTCTAGGCTGTTTTCAGGTGATTACAAGAGAAGGGAAAAACCAAACAACCAAGACCCTTAACTGGTACAAGATAGAAATATTTTCTCTTAAACATAAAGTGGAGAGGGAACAATGGTTTCTGAATGTTTCTACACTAGCAGTGCTGTTGCTGTGAAGGCCACTGATGGATCTCTGCCATTGTTCCTGTAAATTCATTTAGCCTTGTTATTTTGACAGTAAACTGACAGTGATTTGCTGCAGCATGCGTCAATTGGATTTGTCTACTGCAATAATGTATATAATAACAGGGCTTATTATTGATGAAACTCTGCTTGTGCTATTTAGTTTGCAAATGTCAGAGGTTTCTATGGTAATTTATTTAGGAAACTGTAAAGGTCATTTAAATGCTGCTGTTCAAAGATCAGCCTTTGATCACAGGAAATGTTCCCATTGTTTTAAGAAACCTCTTCTCCTTTTGGATCATGAACATTTAATTTTAAAAATGGTATAGTCTTTCCAGAATTTCAATATATCTCATTCAAAAGAGGTTGGAGAGGAAAAAAAAAGCCATTTCAAACCCAGGTTTGATGGTACAATATATTTGGCAGGCAAAGGGACAGGATGCATTCAGAAAACTAAATTTGCTTTTGCATGTCACAGGGTAGTGGAGGAAAAGGACACTGTTGATATAGTTTGAATAGACAAGTATCTGTCTTCTACATTTGCATGTCTTTGCAACCTGTCTGGAAGGTGAAAGGAGGCTTCCCATGGAGAGAAGATACGAAGGGGTGTAAAAATAAATTCTCTCTGTTCCTTTGAATTTTACCAACAAGGGCATAACTTTGAAGCTAAGATCAGAGTCAGGTGTTGGAAAGTGTGAGCTCAGTATCACTAATCCTTCTGCATCTCACTTTATGAGTCTGGATCATCCCATGCAGGTTTATTTTTTGTTTTCTCATGGCCAGAATTTTGCGGTATGACTCAGGGACTTGTTGTGTGATCTGTGTAATGACATCTCCATCCTAGATTTCTTGAGTGGAATTAGCAGATCCCTCCTTTGCTGTAAAATTGACAGTTATAGATGAGTAGTCCTGGTAAAGCACTTTGAAATTTTTCACTGAAGACTCGATAAATGCCAAATCACTTAATTATACCAGGCAGCAACAGGTTTCAAAAGCAAACCTCTAGCTACACAACTTAATGGAGCTTAGAAATACACTTTACATGCATATATACTTGTAGTATTTCATGTATTTAGGGGATCTATGCTGAAATCATGATAACCCATCAAACTTTTGCTAAGAATCTTTCAGGTTCCTGGACAGTAAGTGGGTGCAATCTTGTACAAGCTGCTGAGAGCATCACTAAATTTCCCATCACTGGTGCAACTGATGTTGAATGTCTGGCTTGTGTGGTATTGGTGTTTCCAGAGTCACGTTCTAAATTGTGCAGTTAGATAATCACAGCATCTATAGTATCAGATTGTTTCACATAGTAAGCATAGGGCAGAATTCAGCAACTGTAGATGTGGTAAAGTCCTTTTATTACCTTCCAAACCAATGCTGAGTTTTGAGACCAGTCAGATGTTCAAAAATGTAGTATAATTTTTAAACATATTGCTCAGCATTTTGAAATACCACTAAATAACCTGAAATTCAACTCTGCAGTAAGGAGCTAAAAGCCTTTTTTATGAAGTGACTTAAATGGAAAGTTAGTGACTAAAAGAGCAATGCCTGCACATTAAGGGAAATCCTTTATCAAATCAGAGAACACTTTCTACTTTTTTCCTTTTTAGAATAAAAAAAGTTAGTTTGACACGGTTTTGTATAGAATAGACTTCATGAATTAGAATGGACACATATAAATTGTTTTTTCTTTGCCATGATGTCCTGCAGCACATTGTGGATATTAAATAACTATGGCGTTTTAGCTAGATTAAAAATATAGCAATAAAAGAAATAATTCACTGTACATACCAGTAAAGTTTTTCCTGAGGTTCCAGGCTTATGTTTATTAAAGATGTTGTAGAAATAAATAATTAAATACACTGCTTCAAACTGTAATTGTATCTTATTGTCCTAGCTGAAGATGAAATTGCTGTTCAATCTCTTTCTTCCCTATTAAGATCATGTCTCCATTGGAGGGCTTGGGGATAGCTTTTATGAATATCTGCTCAAGGCATGGCTGATGTCAGACAAGACAGATGAAGACGGCAAGAAAATGTATTATGATGCTGTTCAGGTAAATAAGACATTTAAATCTTCCTTTCCATAATAATCTAATCTATAATAATCCTAAAGAGACAGACTCTGAGGACAATATGAGAGATTTATGTATTTGCTACCACAGGGTGTTTTTTTAAAGAATTAGTTTCTGTTTTAAAAAAGACTTCTTCAAATAGAAGTGATAGAGGAATACAGATACTGCGGGAAAGGGGAGTATTTTGAAGTATTTTTTTTCTTTTACTGCAATATAGTCAATTGTCTCTGGAGGAGAAAAGTACAAAATAAGCAACAAAAAATGCATCTATAAGTAGCTCTGAGATAGACGTTCAACTCTTTTTCCTGAGTCTTTTCTAGATATATATTAGTTTTGTCCTTTTCCTTTATGTCCAGAAGGGAATTCCTCTCTTGTGTGCAATTTTCTCATGTGTTTCAGCCATAAAAAGTGTTTGACTGTGGTCCATACATGGATCAATGTGTTATGGTAGATAATTAGAAACAAAAATAGAGCTGTTGTTTCACAATTACGTTTTGGTATAAGAGCATGCATTTGTCAGCTTCTGTGAAACAGCACAACTGGACACAAGAGAAAGTTTTATAAAATCAGGACTGTTCATATTTACATTTCTGTACGATATTCTATTTATGATCCTGCTGGTCTGAACTTTGCCTTGTTATTTATTATATTTCCTTAATATGCTGTTTTGGGAGAAATACTGGGTTTGTGACACCAGATTGAGACTTGGGAAGTATTCTGTTTCGATTCATATTTACAGGCTTTCCTTCCAGTCCTGGGCAAATGACCTATTTTCTCAACTCTTTGCTTTCATATATATAGATATATATTAAAAAAGAGGATAATATTACTTCTTTTTTTTTCCCCATCCTTTCATCTGTTTTGACTGGAAGCTGTCTAGGGCCAGAACTTTTATCTCTTATTAACTGTGTGTATCTACAGTGCCTCTATAGACAAGGCTTTGAGATGCTAAGCAATATCTGCTTATTCTTTCATATATCTGGAAACACACTGTCCCTAGGGAAGTCATAAGTCTCCTTTTACTTCCCATACACAAAAAGTGGTGGCATAAAAAAGAATAACAACCATGGTTGCTTATTGCAACCATGGTTTTTTTCATTAGAGAGGAAAGTCAAGTGTGAAGATCTGAGGGAGGGTGTGATCTCTGGTGGTTGTAAATTTGACGACCAAGTATCCTCTGCTAAGGAAATCCTGCCTTTAATTGTGTAAGTGCTGATTTGGATGCAGTCTGCCTCATTTTCACTGCTAGTGTGGTTTCAACTTCAGAGCAAAAGGTGGATCTTAAATTAGGTTTGAGTGCATTTGAGGCTATAACATAAGAACAGTGCTGTTTTAATAGCTCAGCCATTGGGTCGGCAGCCAAACAGAGAGAACAAAGTGTGTGAAATTATCAATTCATCTTACCATGGAAAACATTTTGAAGCACCACAAAGCTGCTTCTAGCCATCTTCTTCCACTCGTTTAAAAACATCAGGATTTTACTGAGGTGCAGGGAGCAGAGGTGGTGACAGCCCCCCACATTACAAGACCAGTTCTCCCTGCTCGGATTTCAGCTGCAGGAGCAGAATCACCCGTTCAGCAGCATCACTGAATGTGACAGTATCAATGACAGGCTCTCAGCTCTACTGCATATGAGTATTTAGGTATTTAAAGTACCTATTTTCTTAATATTTTTCAGTAGTACTAGCTCAGAAGCAGTCTGACCACTGCTAGTGTTTGAGAGGACCTGACTAAAAACAGATTTCCTTATGCTGCTGGCTGTTGCTATTCCAGTATTTTCTGGTCGATGGCATTCCTGTTGTCTGTTTTTTGTACTGAAGTGCAGCTGTACCATAGCTAGGGGTGCACATGCAGCATTAGGAGTTGCAGCTTGATGTTGTAAAGTAGCTTGTTCAGAAAGCAGCAGCAAAGTTTCAGCCTCACAGAAACTGCAGGATGATTGGGCCCCACTGAGATTCCAGGTTCTTCATTGGAGTAACTATCCTGATTTGAAATCCATCCTGATACTGCCTTCATTGCTATCGATCCAATACTTATCTAAATTAAAGCTGATTTAAGTGCTCAAACTGCAGTATTTCTTTATGACTAAAGCTGCAGGGTTTGGGCATTCTGAGTCTGCTTGGTATTTGCTTAGAGAAAATTCCCCCAGCGCTCCCAGAATCTTTTTAAGACTATGCCAAAGGGAACAGCATGATTATTCCTGGCCATTCAGTCCAGCACATACCCACCAGATTCTGAAAGAGTGATGTGAAGGTTTGATGCTTAATTCAATATCTTCTGCTATCCAGAAACCACAAATGAAAATATATGGTGAGTTATATAGTTCACTGTGAAAAGCTGAAATCTATTTAGATAGAGCTTAGGGGTTATTTTTCACATTGTTCTGTAAATAATATTTTTAAAAAAGGAATGCTGTCCATTAGAATTTTTGTATCACCTATAGATTATATAATGGCTTAAGTTAAAAGCAATAACTAAGTTGTCAGACTGGATTTAAAACCTGCTTCTGCTTGCCACAAAAATGCATATATGGCTGAAGCCATTTAAAGAGTTATTTCTAGTGGGAAAAGGGACCAAGATAGTCTTGTTTTGAATACCAGAGCGTAGTAGGAATGTATAAGGCCATCAGAGGGATTCATAAATTGTAGAATTCACACAAAAGGACAAGTGAATGTATTTTTAATGTAAGTTATTTTTTCTCTTTTGAAAAGTAATACAAATAATGTCCTGCTTCACATAATACATGAAGTAAGAGATCTTCCTAAGCTGGTTTCAATGGATAGCATGTAACATTTAGTTACAGAACAAATGTGTATTCAGCTTTCAGCTATATTTTGAGGAAATGACTGCCAATAGAATAATCCATCAGTCTTTGCAAGCATCCGGGACAGGAATCATCTCACTCTTCTCAGTTAAAAGGCTGATCTCTGAGACACAATTGAGTAGGTTTATAAGAGGACACAATAATTTAGAGCAGAAATGGACCTTGTGGGTTCACTTCTATCTAGTCTAGCAACACCAGTGTCACAAGCAACTGCATCAAATCCTCCCTTCTTAAATATGTCAGCCCTCATTTTCTAAGCTGAAGGACAATTTTACCTCTCTTCCTGTAAATAGGTTGTCTCACACTTGATATCTGATGGTCAGGTATCTTTTCCAAGTTCTCCCATTACATTTATTTATGGCCATTTCTGCAATCTTTCTGCATCTTACATATATATTTATTATCTCTCTCCGACTCTGCCTTCATCTGCTTCTCAGTGTAGTTCTAGAGAAGTGGCATATCCAGAGGCTATAAAGAGAATGGTAACTCACCCCAGAAGAACTTCACAGGAAAACGGAAAATCCCTCACCAGCACTTCCCAAGCAGCTCAGTTCTGTGCAGGCCTTGGTGGCCCTGTGGTTTCAGTGAGGTAAAGCAGCTGCTTTCTGCAGTGTTGTCTTGAGTCAGGGTAGCTAGTTCACTTTTTAGAAATTTAGGTTGTTTATTCTTTCTTAATGGGTAACAACTGCTCAGACCATCCTAACAAGAAAACAAGTGATTTCTGCAGAGCATAACCCATGGAAGTGGAAACAATGGAAATGGCCAGAAGAGGAACACATGTTGTGAAGCAGTGCCACGGCCACTCTGCCAGATTTCAACACCATTTCAGAAATTGCTGCTAGGCTGGGTTGCGCAATTAAGCAATGCTGTGAATGCAGTAAACTTCTGTGGATATAAAAAGAGGAAAGAGTAATTTTTGGCGTCAGGATTTTGAGTATTCAGACAGAAAATATATAGAATTACTTTTTCGGGGGGGTTAATTTTTTTTTTTTGGCACATTGCTAACTTTGGAATCTAGCTTTGATATGTACTCAGTTTGCACACTGCCGAAAGGTTTGATTTTGATTGGGGGATTTTGGGTATATTTAACTGTCAGCATTAAGTAGTGAATATTTTTCAGAGCTGTTGATTTCAGCCTTTCAGATAAATAAAACAAACCCATGGAGACTCCTTTCTCCTTGAAAGGAGAGGGAAAATGAAGTGTTGATAGCAAACTGAAAACATGATATTGGCAGATAGGCCTTTTTCATCTCTGGAGCTTTGTGAGGATCTGTTTAACTGAGGTGACAGTCTGTTGGCTGGTTTGTGCTGGCTGCAGTCTCCATTAAATGCTTGAAGTGGTTTGCTTTGGGATTTTAGTGGTCTTAAAGACTGCATAACTGATGTGGACAATGAGAGAACTGCAGCAACTCAAATATTGTCATACTAGGTAAAGCTAAAAGTGATTAATGACTTGAACATTCAATACTTGAGCACTTCTTGGCATTGAAGAAAATACATAAACGAGGCAGGCAGGATGCTGCAATAGCAGCCCATCTTGGAATGAAGCAGTTGGTACCCAGCATTCCCACTGCATACTTTGTTTGGGTTTTTTTTTTTTATGGTGTAGGAGGTGGGAGGCAACTTAACTGAATGTAACTTAAATGTGTTAAAATCAATAAGCAGGCAGTTTTGTCAGCTGTCATGTTTAAAATATTTATCACCCAGCTGCACTGGTGTTCTGCACATAGTGATAGTATGGCTGCATTATGTAGGAACACAAGATTCATTGCACTGAGCAGATGAGAACATCCAGAGGACTCGCTGCTCCTTGTTATTCTCTTCACTGCGTTTCCCCTCTCAGCAAGAGTTTTGAGACTCTCCAAGTGCTTACAGAAAGCATCAAGGCTAAAGACAGGCTTCTGCAGATTTTTAAATTGTTAATAATTTACTGATAACCACACGGTGTCTTAAGTTTCAGACCAGCTAAAGTATTTATTCAAATTTTTGCTTATTTATGGACTGTCAGGAGAAGCAGCAAGCTTTCATGTTGTTAGAAGTCTTTAACGAGGATTTTAACTAGAAAAGTCTAAATAGAAATTGTATGGGTTTTGCTCACGGCTTTGTTCTTTTCAGAGTAGCCATGTCCTTACTAGTCATGTTATTTTCCCTTCCCTTT